GCAAGCTTGTCGATATGGGCACTGGGAAGTTGTGCAAACTCTTCTAATTTTCAGATGTAATGTAAGTTGTTTAATTGGAATTTTGCTTTGATACTGTCATTTATTAGTTGTTTCGTGGCTAGCTTGGCTCGAGCATGAAAACGTCTGGCCTTTGTAAAGCTGCCACAAGACCACGGCATTGTCGAGTTGTTTCTTTTTCTTGAGTCGTGGCGATAATAGCTTGTTTGCTGTAATCAGGTAATGAGAGCAGACTACCTCAGCGGTCGGACCGCTCTCCATTTTGCTGCCATCAATGGTCATGTGAAATGTTTAAGACTTATTATGGCTGATTTTGTTCCTAGCGTTCCTTATGAGGCTATTACTAGTCAGACAGATGCCAACAGAAGTGATGGTGTAAATGTGAAGAACAGATGTGAACAAGGGTACTTGGCTCGTTTCATTTTACATCTAAGCATAGAGTTTGTATGGTTTTGTAGGAATAGGTTGATGATGGCGAGTTTCTTATAATTGGCTGATGAGAATTATCGGATTGTTTGATTTTAAAGAAAAATGAATGTGATTGTGAGATCCTTCGTCGGTTGGGGAGGAGAACGAAACATCCTTTATAAGGGTGTGGAAACCTCTCCCTGGTAGACACGTCTTAAAAACCTTGAGGGAAAGCCCAAAGAGGACAATATCTGCTAGTGGTGGGCTTGAGCTATTACAAATGGTATCAGAGCCAGACACTGGGTGATGTGCCAGCGAGGAGGTTGAGCCCCAAAGGGGGTGAACATGAGACGGTGTGCCTGAGGAGGTGGACTGGGGGGTCCCACATCGATTGGAGAAGATAACGAGTGCTAGTAAGGACGCTGGGACCCGAAGGGGGGTAGATTGTGAGATCCCACATCGGTTGGGTAGGAGAACGAAACACCCTTTATAAGGGTGTGGAAACCTCTCCCTAGCAGACATGTTTTAAAAACTTTGAGAGAAAACTCGAAAGAGAAAGTCCAAAGAAGACAATATCTGCTAGCGGTGGGCTTAGGCCGTTACAGTGATATATTGGTTGTTTACCATCAAGTATTGTAGACTTTGGTTGACCTGTTTATTATTCTTGTGATTTATTTTTGTGTTTCCAGTGCAGTGATTTGTCCAAGTTTATAAATAAGGCAGCTGATGATGGCATTACCGCTCTTCATATGGCAGCACTAAATGGCTATTATGATTGTGTTCACCTTCTTCTTGACCTGCATGCCAATTTTGCAGCAGTAACATTTCATTGCGGGACCTCTATGGATTTGATCGGTAAGTCTCAAAAGGTGCTTCTAAATTTCAATGGTGCTGTGTGATTGTGAGATCCCACATCGGTTGTGGAGGAGAACGAAACACTCTTTATAAGGGTGTGGAAACCTTGAGAGAACCTTGAGAGAAAGCCCATAGAGGATAATATCTGCTAGCGGTGGGCTTGGGTTGTTACAAATGGTATTAGAGCCAAACACCAGGTAATGTGCCAACGAGGAGGTTGAGCACTGAAGGGGGGTGGACATGAGGCGGTGTGCCAGCAAGGACGCTAGGCCCTGAAGGGGGTGGATTTGGGGGGTCTCACATCAATTGGAGAAGGAAACGAGTGCCAACGAGGACGCTGAGTCCTGAAGGAGGGTGGATTGTGAGATCCCACATTAGTTGGGGAGGAAAACGAAACATTCTTTATAAGAGTGTGGAAACCTCTCCCTATTAGACGCATTTTAAAAACCTTGAGGGGAAGCCTGAAAGGGAAAATCCAAAGAGGACAACATCTGCTAGCGTTAACAACAAATGATTATATCGTTGTAGGAGCTGGAAGCACTCCGTTGCATTATGCAGCATGTGGGGGTAACTTGAAGTGCTGTCAGGTACGATGTCTTTCGACTTCAATTGTAAACGTTGGCTTTAACGAATAACATTTGAATATTTCATTTCGCGTTTCTTTTTTGTTCGAAATTTTACAGATTCTCCTCGCAAGAGGCGCCTCTCGAATGACTTTGAATTGCAATGGGTATACTCGTCTTGCAGTGTTTGCTCTTGTTGTTCTATCTTTAATTGTGGCTTATCTGATTCAAAATGCAACCTTCACTTCAGGTGGCTTCCTTTAGATGTAGCCAGAATGTGGGGACGCCACTGGCTTGAACCTCTGCTAGCTCCTAATTCAGACTCTATAATACCAAGATTCCCCACTTCGAACCACCTATTATTGCCTCTAATGAGTGCATTAAACATCGCCAGGTATTTGGCTAATTGGTTCGCATGTTGGATGAACTTTTTTGTTTTAAGTTCTATTTGCAATGCTCTCTATCTTTGATTAAAATGTGGCACATATAAGGTCTTTAGGGACTGTGAAATCCTACCTCGGTTGGAGGGGGAAACGAAATATTCTTCATAAGGGTGTGGAAACCTCTCCCTAGTAGACGCGTTCTGAAATTGTGAGGCTGATAGCAATACGTAACGGGCCAAAGCAGAGAACATTAGCTAGCAGTAGGGTTGGACTGTTACGAATGGTATTAGAGCCAGTGACCTGGCGGTGTGCCAACGAGGATACTGGCCCCCAAGGGGGATGGAATGTGAAATCCCACATCGGTTGGAGAGGGGAATGAAACATTCCTCATAAGGGTGTGGAAACCTATCCCTAGTAGACGTGTTTTAAAATTGTGAGGTTGACAGCGATATATAACGGGCCAAAACGGACAATATTTGCTAGCGGTGGGTGTGGGCTATTATAAGGACTCTCTTGAGATGACATGAAAGAGAAAGAAGATATGCAAAATCTATGTCTTTTGCTGTTTGGTGTGTCAATGAGGACGCTGAGCCCCAAGGGGGTAGATTGTGAGATCCCACCTCGGTTACATAGAGGAATGAAGTATTCTTTATAAGGGTATGGAAACTTCTCCCTAGCATATGCGTTTTAAAAACATTGAGGGAGAGCCCGAAAGGAAAAGTCCAAAGAAGACAATATCTGCTAGCGGTGGACTTGGGCCGTTACAAAAATCTAATGATTTCAAATGGTGAAACATAACAAGCGTGTATGCATAGGAGGCCAGTTCGATAACTTCTGCGGCTGACCTATAAAATGAATAACTTGAACTTGAACTTGAACTTCTTGTTCTCTCTCTTTAAGCTCGACTTAGTTTTACGAGTTGAAGTTATAGAGTCAACCGAAACCTGCTTGACTTGATCGTTTATATTAGTGAATGTAGGAATAAGGAGCTACTCTTTTGTGCATTTGAAATGTGAATGATGACATGTAAAATCTCTTCAGAGAATGTGGTTTTAAGTCGATGGGAGTGACCTCCGACGACGGGGATACCTGTGCTGTCTGTCTCGAAAGAGTATGTTCCGTGGCCGCAGATGGTAAGTTCCCTTTTGACACGCTTAACATCTGAATCTTGTTTTTCTTCTGTGGCATATGTTAGTTAGCTTATCGAGACGATTCTCGTGCTCGCTATTTTTGTATTTTCTCATCGAGCAAGTTCAAGTTCTGCATCTGTCTGATATATCTGGCATCTGTACTATTGTAGATGAGAAATTTTTAAACTTGTTTGGTTATGTAGGATGTGGACATGAGCTTTGTGTAAAATGCGCGCTCTATCTTTGTTCGACGAGTAATATCCAATCGGAAATGACTGGTTCATCGGGCTCGATTCCGTGCCCCCTTTGCAGACATGGGATTATATCTTTTGTAAAATTGTCTAGTGCCACAGAAAAGGAAAAACAACTTCACCTCTCTCTTAGCATATGCAACTCATGCATTCTTCATAACGGTGACGCCGAAGATCCAGTTTCGACTTGTTTGCCAGATATCCGGAGGAATCGTGTGGCTATGATTTCTTCAGATGTATTCTGCCCAGTAACTTGCAGCCCATTTCATTCTTCTGCTATTCCTGTGTGTACGTGCAACAATGGTACGTGCCCGAGCTTCGAGTCCTGAGATGTCGGAACAGAAGATGAATCACACCGTCAATCGCAAACAACCCCAATCGACCAGGTGAAATTGGGAGGTCAGAGACCAGAAAAAACTTGCTGTTCAAGCATGTTTTGTGGCAGGAGAAGCTGTAGTAGGGAGAATCAATGCAACTCGGAGATAAACGCTTGACATGTCTGGTCGGTATCGGGTCAATCATCTGGACGAGCTTGAGAATCTATAGTAACAGCGATACACTGGAAGTTCGGGTTGATATATATATATATAGGTAATAGATACGAAGTTTGGCATAAAGTGGTTCGTTTTTGTCTTCGGTTGTGTTCCCTATTTTCGTGATGGGTTTAGGAGGGCTGGTGGGTGAATAATTTGTTTGGATGGCAGCAGCTGTGGGAATGCTGTGGTTCATGTCATTGCTGCTGCCTGTACTAATTGGTAGGGAAGATTGTAAAATTTGTATGTTGGGATTTTTGTTTCAGCCTTCATTGTAATTGAATGAATGACAGTAAAAGAAACACAAGGGAATACTATTTTCCTCTTTTTCATTATTAATATCAAATAGCTTATTGGCTTTCGCCCCCAAACCCCATAAAATGTTCCATTCACATATCGAGTAGACGTGCCCTTGACTACAAGGCTCCGGACGAAACTTGCACTCAAAGACTCATGGTTTGCAAGATCTTGCCATTCAAACGAAATAATGTCTTTTGCTATGTCATAGAGTCAATGTAAATAATACAACAAGAATGCTTTTTCCCTCGCACCGATTCTGGTGTGGAGACCAAACAAGGTTTTTGAAGTTCATATGCCACATTTGGTTTAGGCCCTGTGCTCCCCTAATAAAACGAAAAGTTTGTATTTCTACGCGTTTACCCTGTAATGACTTCTCCTCCCTATGAATAAAGGTTCAATGGACTTCTCACAACGACAAATGGTGAACCGCCCACGATATCACGATCTAAACACTTTCACCAAACCATTGAATCGATAGGAATGACAGACACAATTATAAAACTTTCAAGAACAATTATAAGAAAGAAAACTCAAAAGAAATATCAAGAAGAACATGAACAATTATAAGTAAGCTGATGAAAACTTTCAGCTTTTAAGTTCAAATGAATGACCAATTAAACCAACAAAAGGAAAAGGAAGTCGGGTGTATCACACTCTTGTCACATTTGGGATGGACAAGGAAATGAAGTTATTTACAATACAGAGTACACATAAAATAAAATTCAAAAAGAAAAGAAAAGAAAGATAGAAGACATTGGAAATTTTGTACCCAAACATTTTCTTATCAAATTGGTCCCCAACAGTCTGGTGGGATTTTCTTTTGCCTTTGCTTAAGCTTTAGATCAACCTCCAACTCCATTGGTTGGCGGAGGTGATTGTTGAGAGAAATCACCTTTATCCTTTTTCCCAATATCTATATTCCCCACAACATCGTCTTCTTCGTCCTCTTCGTCCACTAGAATCGACCCATTCCTTCGGAGTTCTCTAATTTTTCTAAATTCATCATAGTGTGCCCTTCTGTGTTCCTTAAAGCTCAAATTCGCCTTATCTGTTTTCAAACCCAACCACTGAACTTGAGAAAAATATCAGACAAGGTGCTATAATTATATATATACACACACAGTGGGTTAGTCGCCAAGTCCATGTGGGTTTCTTCCTTTGAAAATGAGATGACAGCCAATATCACCTTCAAATGGATCATAGTCAAACAACACAGAACGTCGGATACACAGCATTGCAAGGATTAAACCTTAAAATACCTTTTCAACCAAGCAATGATTACCATTGTCTGTTTGATTCTAAGATTAGATCATCTTATAAAACTGCTTGTGCTTGAAATCCAAGAAAATACGTAAAGTTGGGAAATGGATGTAAAAGAAGTGAGCAAATAAAGGAAATTGGGACCTTCATCATCTTGGTCCATGGCATCTGCTTCATCCTCAGAAGATGTCCACCCACTAGATCGTTGGCTGCTTTTACCACTTGAAGACGCCACATCATTCAATGCAGTTCGGATGGCTTCTGCATGCATTGCATCACCAACACACATGGCAAACCTGTCCCTCACAGGAGAAAGAGAATCTGCATCAAACCAAAAACAATTACAAACTTGGGGTGCACTATCTTGATACAGTGTTACAGTAACCAAAACTTTACACCTAAACAAATAAATTTGCGCTCGTTCCCTCCGAGATAGTCAAGGCATACAAATGCTTTTTCACCAATATCAATTTCACATTTATACATTTACCATCTTTATCCATAGACGTAGCCAAAATACTCAAGAACGCAATATATAAGCCTCCACACTTGGTCATAGCGTAAAAGTTCTCTTGCAAATTTTCCATATTTGTTAATTCCAATTAAGCAAACATAAATTACTAAAAAAACAACAACAAGCATATCTAGATAACCTTTTTCTTAACAAAAACAAACATTTGATATAGAAAATTTACCGAAAAATATCCAATAGAAGATTAATCACAGATTACATCAGTGAATTGAAATCATAACTAAAGAGGTAATTTCCAAAACTAAATCTTTCAGAATTCATGAAAAGTGCTTTCAATGCAACACAGAAGTTATAAATAAAAATCAAACAAACCAACAAGATATAGTCCTTTTTCTACAGTATATCATACAAAGAAGAAGTTACAAAATTCTTGAGAAGGGAAAAGCAACTTTAAGTTCCTGATGTTTGACTTAAGTTGCATTTGACTCCTTGAGTTTTCAATTCGACATTTAACCCCTGAGATTTGAGTTTCTCTTGGTCTCGTTAACACATTTGGTCCTTGTTTTCAACTTATAGTTATGTAAGACAGACTAGACCTTGAGTTTTCAATAAACATTTTTTTTTATTGTTTTTATTTTCATTCTTACTCTCTATTTGTTAAGTTGATGTTCAACATATTTATTATATATGTCTTTACCACATCAACAACTTAACAAATATAAAATTAATTCTAAAATAAAGAAAATAAAAACAAAAATACAAAAATGTTTAATTTTTAATTTTTTAAAATAGTAAATATGTTGCACATCAACTCAACATATAGAATATTAACATATTTTGCCAAGTTAGTCCAAAATTTAAAAAAAAAATGAAGAAAATTGACGAAAGGACCAAAATTGTTAACAATAGGAGGAACCAAATACCAAATTATTCCAAACTTCAGGGCAATGTCAATTTTGAAACCTCATACACTCAACTTGAACCAAACCCATACCAAAAGTGCACTTTTCCCATAAAAGAATTATCACAAAAATAACAAATCCTTTGGGTATTACATGCTTCTAATAGAAGAAACGCATACCATCATCTTCAATCATGGGATGATAAGGCGTCTTAGGCTCAGTAATTTTCTGCCGCACAGGTTTATTTGCTTCAATTTGACCAATATTAACTTCATTCCATTTCACACGCCGCCCACGGGTACTACAAGAACATAAAGATAAAGCTCAAATTTTTAGAATAAGTGTGAAATTTATGTCAGAGTGAACCACAGAATACTCCAAGTGATGCAAACTAGAGCTCACGTCTGTTAAGTAATCAACATATTCCATTTTCATTAAAGGAATAGGGACCTGAAATATAATTTCACTGAAGAACAGCTACTCTTGATCTTATTTGAAATTTTAATAACAAATATGTCATCCAGAGACTGAATGGATACATGAACATCTAAACATGGACATTTGCAAATGAAGATTAGGAATGAAAGAATAAATAGCTATATGAAACACCAGAACACACATAGAGACATGAGAACAGAGGAGCTTTATGCACATATCAAGTGTAAATTCAGCATTACTTCATCTTGCTAATATTGTGATTTCCTGAAATGTCAAAAGCACCTATACAATTGAATACATATTTTTTCTTGTAAGAAACATCAAAGAAGTATATTCCCAAAACGGCTAGGTACAACCTAAGGGCTGGGAACCCCCTTATTGTGATGGGCAATAGAATTCCAAACCTTGTTAGTTTTTTCTTATATATAACAAGAACCTCTTTCTCGAAGCTATGAACCCTTTCCCTCAACAGGTCATTGCTCGTGCTTGTCAGGTTGGAGCTAAAACGTGACCTTAATACCAATTAGAGGTAAAGGGTATTTTCAGCTTTCCATTCACTTCTTATTTTTGAGAGGCCAAGGGATTGGGTGAGCCTATGGTAATATGATTAATCGATTCATCTCCTTTTAATTTTCTAATGAAAATGATCTTTTCCTAAAAAGGAATAATGGATGAATTAACATAATAATTCCATTTAAGCCCATTTACAGAAGCCTTGAGTTAAGTAATAACATTATAAGCAGCCCCTTGTTAATACAAAAAAAAAAAAAAAAAAAAAAAAGAAGAAGAAGAAGAAGAAGAAGAAGGAAAAGCAAATCCAAAAGCATTTGACCGTGGGGTGGGAAGACACGAGAAAGGAATGAGAGGTTCAATTCATATTTCGGTGGACATTCAAGGAAACAGATGTGATGCAAAGGCATAAAATACCTCATACCTCTCTGATTCTTTTCTACTCATCTTCACCTCCTTGTGAACCTGTCCATGAAAAAGAAATCCAAAGCAATTGTTAACTAACCCATTTCACAGAACCACCAGAAAGAAGAGAACAATGCTTAGAACTCTTTTGTCGCCCTATCTCATATTGGCAAAACAAAGACCCGTCATTTCTCAGGTTAATTCAACCATGGAATCCACGTCGCCAGTGGTCACTCACTAAAATATCAAATATCCTACAAATTAGTTTTATAGCTAATTGTCGCATTACCTTCAGCATCTGCTTCGACCCAAAACAATTTCATCCAACATCCTTCACTTGAATACTCATCGAACCTTTAAGCTAATATTCGTTTTTTCCGGCTCGGATTCGGTAATACATCAATTTCTTAATCTATTCATGCTCCCGAATCAATTTAATAATAAAAAAATGTGCGAAATTTCTTCATTTGCATATTTTTATTATTATTTTTTTGTTTATAGATTATCCAGTACAGAAACCGACTTGCAAATAAACAACCGCTCATAATCCTTACGAGAAACTCCATCCATTTTCACTCTCTCCGAATTTCATCGTTTTTTACAGTTCTCCCAAGAATATAAACATCCCGCACATATTCTCCAAATAAAATCAGCAAAGAGGGAAAAGGCACGAGAGTTTTACCGTTCGTCAACGTCCCGACCAGCTCAGAGTTTGCCACAAAAGCAGAAGTATATCAGAAAGAGGCTCGTGAGGAAAACGAGGAGGCGTAGGATATGAGATCCAAGATCTGCCGATGCTCTCATGCACCAGGGATCGGAAACAGAAAGAAACCGCAACCGCGAAGAGAGAACAGAAGAGATGAGATTGACCGATAAAAGAGAGGAGTGAAAGAAGAAAGAATACGTATGAAATGAGAGGCAGAGGGAACCTTGGACCGAGGCCATTTTCATTTGGGCTTTTCCCGGGAAAAGCCCAATGGGCTCTGTTATTCGAAGGCCCATTTAAACACACTCTCCATTTCAAAAGCATGATCGTGACACTCGACAAGCGGGTAATAGAATAAAATATAGCTACTAACTCTATTTATCGCTTAAATACTAATTTTCACATTTATATTCATTTCTATGGCTAATATTGAGCTGTTGCGCAACGTCATGATCTTAGAGTATCAATAATGAATAAAGAGGTAATTGAAAGTCGAAAGAAGAACTAGAGATAAAGAAAATGAGGAAAACAAGTGCCACAGGTCGAGGGATAGTGTTGAGACACTAAATTATAGCATCCCGACACTGTCACAGTCAAGTCAACTATCCTGCACAAGTAATGTTGAGACACGCTTAACAACATCTCAAAGCAAAGAAAATGAGGTACCGTCATAGTCGTGAGTCTGTTTATAGTAGCGACTGTTGTCATAGTTAACAAGGTGGAAACTTACAAGAAAAAACTTCGAATTGGGAGGGCGACCCTCTCGGTGAACTGACAGTACCCCAAACCGACACAGGTGAACAAGTAGAGTATACTTGGGCGCTTGAGAGAACCATGTCGAAGGAACTCGGCAAAATGATCCCGTAACTTCGGAAGAAGGGGTGCTCTCCTATCTTTTGATTAGGAAAGCGGCACATACCAGGAGGTAGCGACTGTTTATTAAAAACACAGGACTCTGATAAGTGGTAACACGATGTATAGAGTCTGACCCCTGTCCAGTGCTGGAAGGTCGGAAGGAGAAGTGTTATAAGCTTTGAATGGAAGCCCCAGTAAACGGCAGCAGTAACTCTAACTGTTCTAAGGTAGCGAAATTCCTTGTCGCATAAGTAGCAACCTGCACGAATGGTGTAATGACTGTCTCGCTGTCTCCGACATGGACCTGGTGAAATTGAATTCTCCGTGAAGATGCGGAGTACCAACGGCTAAGACGGTAAGACCCCGTGCACCTTAACTATAGCTTCGCAGTGACAACCTTATACAAATGTGTAGGATAGGTGGGACGTGGTGAAATTGAACTCTTTCGTCTGAGCATGCCTAACCGCCGCACCTGTAGCATCAAGACACTATGGACAACATCTCTAGCATCTTGGCACTGTTGGGTGAATTAGAAGAGACTTTTTGGAGCAAGTGGAAGAGTTTCAAAAGTTGAAGAACATGAAGATCACAATAAGGACGAGAATGAATAGACGACGTTTCTAATCTTATTGTGATGGAAAGTTTAAATTTGATTAGAATTTTCCCAAACAAACAGTATTATACGAGACAGTAGTTACCATTACCGAACACAGTTACCGAGTACACACATTTCCCGGCAGCACAGGTCCAATATAGACATTTATACTAAGAACTTTCATTGAAAGGGATAGCTCTAAGTGGACGAGCCATAGCCAAAGTCAAGCCAGTCTTCTCCTCCATATTCATAGTTTCAGGCTGGATCCCATCTTCAAGCCTCCAATGAAACGAGTGAATCAAAGAAGCAAGAATCCAATGAACCATTTTGGTAGCCAAAGACAAGCCAGGGCAGATTCTCCGTCCAGACCCAAATGGAATCAGCTCAAAGTGTCTCCCTTTATAATCAACGTCCGACCCCAAGAACCTCTCTGGCTTAAACGAATCAGCGTCTTCCCAAACGCCTTTGTCCCTCCCGATCTTCCAAGCATTCACAATAACTCGAGCATTTTTGGGAACCACGAACCCTCCGATCTCGGCGTCTTCTCTTGCTTTGTGTGGCAGTAGAAGAGGAGCCGGCGGGTGAAGCCGGAGAGTTTCTTTTATGATTTGTTGAAGAAATGGTAGCCTTACCCAGTCGGATTCGTCGACTGCCGTGCCTTCTCCGATCACTTCTTTCAGCTCTGCTTTGGCTTTTGATAGTACTTTTGGCTTTCTTAATAGCTCTGCCATTGCCCATTCCACCGTCGATGTCGTCGTGTCGGTTCCCGCCGGAAATAGGACCTAAGTAATGACCAAAACAACACAAAGATGAGTAATTTTACTCAAATATGAGTTTAATCCCTACCTGCATAGAATAGAATAGAATGGGAGCTTTGGGTCACCCCATAGGTTGGAGGGTATTTACAGTACAGACTAAACAATTAGAGGGTATTTCTACTTCATTCTTTTCCTAAAAAAGAATCGAAAATTCTAAGGATTGGCGAGAGGAGCGAGGACAGTTCGAGCGTTAGAAGTAGTAAGGTCAAGGTAGCATTCCCTGCAGCAACACTCTAGTATTTAGTAAATTCTATGACTAAGGCCTAGAGTCACTCTTGAGAAACGGCCTGATTTACACGTGTGTATGCAAGACCACTCATGTAGTTCAAGACAGGTAAGGGCTGTGCTCATGAGGGAGACACCGTCACTCTGTCTCGAAGGTAGGTTGAGGTATCTTTATTCCTAAATCATTTTCCTAAAATACATAGACAATGGACTCATACAATTATTGAGCTTGATTCTGTTGAGCTAGTGATAATATTTTAACAGGGCTAAGACGTATGCGTGGTTGCGTGTGTGACGAGCAGATATTATGTAAGGAGGTTCAAACGTATATTAAACGAGAAGATATTACCAATATCAAATGTTTGATCAAATGTAGGTGGAACTTGGCATCTTCACTCTCTTTTGCAAGGTTGAGAAGGTTATGAAGCATGTCATTTTCTTCCCCTAAATTTGGCTCCTTCATCCGCTTGCCAATCATGTCATCAATGATATCTAAAAACTTGTTCATGTGAGCCATCATACGCCTCCGGCATCCTTGGAGGTCCATCTTCTTCAACATGGGAAAAAGATCTCCAACATTTGATCTTCCAGCCTCCTCCATTATACCCCAAACAGCCTCCTTAAATTCTTGCCCCTTTTCATAAATATTCGAGTATTCATCACTCAAATCCACCGAAAAAATCATGTTGGAAAGCATGTCGAGAGTGGTCACAAACACGACTCTTTCAATGTCTACAGCCTCACCTTTTGTAGCGCTTTCTTGAACATCAGCTAAAAGACGTTGGATTTTCTTAAGACGAATTGTATAGTTCATGTGGAGGGTGTTCTCGGAAAACATGTGATTGTTGCATAGTTTTCGAAGGGTTCTCCACAGGTCGCACACGGGAAGCCAGGGCAATGCTACCTTGTGGTGGTCATAAATTGTTGTTGCATCGGGATACATTCGGTCACTCAAAACTTGGTCATGAGATTGGAGGACTTGCTTGGCCATGGATGGGGAGGATATCACTATTGAGGTCATTTGGCCTAGTTTTAGGGTCATGATGGGGCCATAGGAGTCGGCAAGTTTGGCTAGAGATTGGTGAGGGTTATGACCAATCTCCATCATATTTCCTATGAGAAAGTAACCTTTGGGCCCTGGAGGAAGTCGCTTTGGGTTGATTTTTCTAGCAAGTGAATGGAACAATAGTAGAAGGGGGAAGAGAAGAAAGAGACTGTTACCTATTGTAAGCTCCATTTTCTCTTTCACTATGTCTCCCCCTCTCTTAGACATTTGGGTTGCCTTTTTATAACACAAAATTAATGGAATAGGTGGTTGTGAGGTCTTATCCAAGATATTTTCTTTTAGTTTTTGTGGTTGTCAAAATTTACATGCTAAAATTGGTTCGACCGGAACCGACATGTTTTAAATCAAGAAAAGAGATTTAGTGAGTGATGGCCAATCAACAATAAATTGTTCGTGACTCGTGAATAATGAATAAACTACATTAAAAAAAAATATTGAAATCAATAAAAGAGGACCAACAATCTATATCTATATGTTACTAGTGAGTAAAGGAAATCAGAAAAACTAAACTAAAAAACTTGTTGAAATCAATAAAAGAGAGCTAGTGAATGTGAGCAGCCAACCATCTAAATGATGCTTGTGAGTAACAGAAATTAGACAAATTAAACTACAAAAACCTGTTGTTAAGCTTGTTCATGGATGAATGAACTATGATCGTGACGAAACATGTCAACTATTATTTGGTGTAACGAAACATGTTGGGTTAGTAAAAGAGAGCTAGTGAATGATGAGCAACAAACCATCTATATGTTGGTCGTGAGTAACGAAAATCGAAAAGACTAAACTACAAAAACCCATTCTTGAGCTTGTTCATGTACGGATGAACTATGATCGTAACTAAACATGTCAACTATTACTTGGTGTAACAAAATTGGTTGGGCTAGTCCTACAAAATTGGCAGGACAACTATGTGATATATATCAATTGAGTTCAAATTTATGTATATCTATATCTATATATATATATATATATATTTGTATATTTGTATAGAAACGAGTTTTCGTAATTAAATCAACTACACATGTACTAACTAAGATCACCATAGAATGGTTTTTAGGTTCATCCTTTGATGTCATATACTTGTAAACATGGACATGGAGAGGGTGGATACTAATTTATTCCACTTTGAGCATATTGAGGAATAGGATGACAATAATTGTACCCTACTAGGTCCCTCCATCTTAATGCTCATGATATTAACCTTTTATTCATGCCTGTTCTATCAACATGGATGTAGACAGCATGAACAATAATTGTACCTGAGATTATATAGGCATCAAAGAACAAAAATATTACCCAACACGTCTTTCCATCTTCATAATTTCGATATCGACCTCTGATCCATGATATCTTCATCACCTGTTTTACCACCCATATAATGTTATTTAGGTTGATCCCTCAATGTCATATGCTTATAAACATGAGTGTAAAGAGCATATACAATAGTTCGAGCGCTAGGTGCTCGAACCAACTCATGTTCGGACTTGTTTTTTTTTTTTTTGTTATATGTGAAATAAATTTAAACAATTTAAAACGAAATTAAAAAGACAAATCGTTAACTGAATAAGCGAATTAAAATGAGTAGTCCACTCAACAACCTTGCTTACATAAGGACATGTCTTCTCTCCAAGAGGTGACATTGTCCTCTTGTAAGTAACGATAACTTTTGAAGAGAGGACCTTGCTAATACGAAGATATGTCATCACTCGAGGTCGACTTTGCCTACAAGAAGGCAAGAGACAACATGCTTCCACCTGAAAGAGACGACCTCGTCTCAACAATAGTGTTTTGATTCCTATCTTTACAATCTCACTGATCATTTAGCAAAAACTAATGTCAAATTAGAACCTAACACTTGACCTTAAAAATGTACGTTGATAAGGTAAATAAACAAAAGACATACCTATGTCATATTTTAATGAAATAGCTTACTAAAATCGATAGCAACTATGGTTTCCTACTCAAAGTATAGACATTAAAATGAAATATTTAAAAAGTAAGCAACAACCATACATATTTTGAGACTAAAACAGGATTTAAACATATACAAAGATGAATGAATGAATGAATAATTTCATTACACCTTTCTGATTGAACCTTACCCAGAAAAGATATGGATGGATTTCACCTTCACAGATAGAGTTCATGTTGCTTGGCCTGTCACTGCAGATCCCGATCCTGAAGCGCGGGATCTTTCCTTCACCGATGGTTGTGGTTCTGATAGGAAAAAAACCATAATAGGGATTTATACATTGCACCAAAGAAGAGAAAAGAGAATGAAAACATCTCTATTACAAAAATTAAAGCAAGTTTTAAGTTATTTCGATATCGAACAGATTCTATTCAAGTAAGGTCGTATATTAAGTCGATGGCAAGCTCTCGTTTTGTTATTAACTGAGACGTACTTAGCGTACTAGTAGAGAATTGGACGATTGTGAGCCTTGGAAGAGATAGCCCTCTCGAAAAAATATTGCTCAGCATAACTTATCATTGATATCGTTAGTACAATTTCAGCCCCACTTTCATATTATCCGGTTCTTCTTGTACCTCAATCGTTAAGAATCACAACCCTCCACAATGGTATGATATTGTCCACTTTGAGCATAAACTCTCGTGACTTTACTTTTGGTTTCCTAAAAGGCCTCGTACCAATGGAGACGTATTCCTTACTTATAAACTCATAATCAACCCCTTAATTAGCCGACGTGGGACTCATCTCCCAACCATCTTCAACGTCATTAATCCCTGGAAGGCTAAATACATTCAAGGCCAGATCCGAGATGATTACCAGGTTACTTTAGCTACAGGTAAATCATCAAGATCAACAAGAACATTTGTAAAAGAGATGAACTATGAAGTTACTGAAGCATTATCAAAATCCACGCATAACAGTCAAGGTTTTAGTGCCTAAAAATCCTTCTTGTCTTTCTATTCTGGGTTCCAGGGCCCAGAACACGAGTCTAAATCAATATCTATTGACGTCCAGATTGTTCCCTGTTATCTATGTTCTCAGCTAGAAACAAAAACACGGTGAAACTACCATTGATGTTGCAGGCGTTCGGAATAGCTTTGTTTATCATTCGGTTTTACATTATCTATTTTATGAAACTGAATAAGCTTACTGGATATGAGGGCCTTTGGTCTGGTCTTAAACAGAATCCGCTGCCTGATTATCCCAATGACTTCCAACTCTGCAGTAGCTGATTTGGTATCGCCACTCTGATCCTCGTCCACGCACTTCTTTTTCTTCAACACCAACAATGGCTTCTTCAGTGGCACTTTGCTTCCTGCCAGCTCATGGTACCCTACTGTAAAAGTATACACTTCCTACAAACCAATCAATCAATTGAAATGCAACAAATTACCTCAGCAATGAAAAACAAAAATACTTTAGGAAACGGAAATCACTCTTGGAAACTGATTTAGCAAGGTGAAGGAGAAACCAATGGTTGTGCCGTAATGCCGCAACCTTCAAATACTCTAATACCAATTGTTGTACCTAAATGCCACAACTAAACTGTTCTGATACCCAATTGTTGTAGCGGAATACCACAACCAAAACTACTTTGATACCCAATGGTTGTAGCAGAAGTGGAAGCAAGATTGATCACACTCACACCCCCACAAATAGAAATTAAACAAAAAGACACTCGGATTTACGTGGTTTGGAGAGAAGAAATTCTCCTACATCCACCGGTTGTAGTCAATCACTATAGCCAAAATATTTACAAATGTATCTCTCACATTACAAAGGCTCTCGACAAAAGTTCCTCCTAATTGCCTTTAGGCAAATACAAAATGGTAATGACTCCACGTCTCAAAATAATGCTAGACAAGCCTTTTGTATAGGCATAGCAATACTAATTCTTAGACATAAATCATAAATGAGAATATGGACAAAAAAGAGATATGAACAAAGGGGTTATAAACTAAATGAGAGTTAATAAATGAGCTAAGACAAACTTACAATACCATATCAATTCAATCGATCCAGTAACTAAATCCTCCTCCGAACCTAACTAGTCTAAACAATTTCGTAATCTTGTCAGGGAATTCGATTCTAGGGCTACAATGGGAGCTGAGAATGAGGAGAACAAGAAGAAATTGAGAGAAATGCTAAAAGATCGATCTATGAGAAAGGAAAAGTTCAGTACCTGAGCGGAAGGCCGGCATAGAACGCCGATTTCGAGGGTTTGAAGGCGATCTTCGAAGGAGGGTTGAGCTTCAACTATGCCTTGCAATTCAACGACGGCCCATTCCAAGCATTTGGTTTCGCCACAGTTACATTTCACCTTAATCTGCATCGTCCAACGCCTTCCGATTCTTGATTCCGCTGCTTTGAGATGAAAAAAGAAAACACGAAGCTCTGATTATTGATGAGGAAGACGACACAGAAACTCGGAAAAACGCCGCGAAATCTGAAAGCTATTCCCGCTGTTCTTGGAGAACTAAACCACGTTGTTTAGAAACTGAAAAATTCATATTTTATATAATTTTAAAGAGAGAAATAGTAGCTTCTCTTCTTCCCCACCGAAGTTGAAGTCGCGACGGTTTGAACCGGTTTACAAAGATCTATCGGTTCTCCGACTAGACTGTGGTTCTGATGGGTAATCATGATTTACGGCGAAGAAGGTCACCGAAATCCGAGAAATAAGAGGAGCATAACTAAAGATTATGGGTGTATGTGGTCCGGGTTGGGTTGGGCTGAAAGATTTTTTTTTTTACCCAACCCAAAAGTTCGGGCTAGTTGGGTTGGGTAAATCTTTCAACCCAACCCAAAAGTTCGGGTTAGTTGGATTGGTTACCCAACCGAACCCTCTATTTTCGAGTTGGGTTGTCAAATTTTTTTTACATGATCCGGGTTGAGTTGGGTTAATTTTTTTTGACCCAACTCAAAAGTTCGGGTCGGTGGGATGGATAACCCAACCCAAAACTCTTCCCAACCCAATCCTCTATTTTCAGGTTGGGTCGAGGAGTTGTCAAATTTTTTTTTAAGCTTTATTTATCACCATTTATAATTATTATGATACAATAAAATATATTAAAAATTTTCAAACAAACCCAAATCAATTTATAATTATTAAAAAAAAATCATAAAATTAAATTAAAAATGATTATTACAAAGAGATGGTATATAACAAAAAAAAAAAAATTATATATATATATATATATAAAATATTTTAATTGAAATATGCATATGATTCTAGAAAATTCTAAACTATTAAAAAAATAAATATATATATAAATTAATATAATAATATTTCATAAATAAATAATAAATATATTAGAATTTAGAATATGTTTTAAAACTATATAGTCAGAAAAAAATGAATGAAAAACTCCAAATCAGTTACATCAAACGATTCAATTACATCAAACGCTTCGATTAATCATAAGACTACCAATAAAGCACAAAATTCACATTCTATCATCAAAATCTCTATCCAAACAACACATACTCTATTTATTGGGTTATTTTGCCCCAACTACACAAAAACAATTTATTAACAAAAACCCAAAATTATTCTTCCAATCCAATTTTCAAAAATCAAAATTTTATTTTTTTTCGTATTAAAAGCCGTATAAATTTTTAAAAATATTACAAGAGAATTTATAATAAATAATTTCTATTTTTTAACCAAATTTATTAAATAAAGCTTTAAATATAATAACAAATCCCACTTATCTTCGTTATCTAATATTCAACTTAATTTCTAATAATTATTTTATTAATTTTTAAAAGTTTGTAATAGATTTCTTTTTTAAATTTGAAAATATATTTATCTAATGTATTCCTATTTTCCTTTAGATAATCTTACTTTCTTTTCTTCGGTGGATTAGGAGTAATTTTTATTATTATATAGTCTCACCCTTCTCACTTTCATACTCAATTCGATAGTTTGACTGTGAAGTTAAAAAAAATTCCGACAAACAATCATCCATCATAAAAACTTCTTGAAAACAATGGCAAAAATTATTGAAGGAGCTGCTATAGTTGGAGGACAATGGAAGAGAGAGGTCTGGTCTCACAATTTATTGGAGGAGATAGAACTCATGAAGCACTATTTATCAGAATTTCCAATCGTGGCGATCGATACGGAGTTTCCAGGTAAAAATTAAACTTTAAGGCAGTGAGAAGCTGTGATTTTTTTAGTTTTGTTTTACTGACTTCTGGATGTATCTTCTTTTTCAGGATTTTTAAGATGGACTCCCAAAGGTGTTTCAGATGAAGAATTCTATCAATGCCTACAATTTAACGTGAATAGACTTAGCATCCTCCAATTAGGACTCACCCTCACTGATGATAATGGAAAAATAGGAATGACATGGGAATTTAACTTTCAAGATTTCGATCAAATTAGTAATATGGAGGGTGTTTATTCCCTAGATTCATTTCTAAAAAATAAGGGATTTAATTTTAATAAACTGAGGAGCTGTGGAATTGCTCCCCAAGAATTCAGTAGACAATTTAAACCTGTCATTCGAAGCGGCAGAATACAAAAATGGATAACATTTCATGGTTTGTATGACATCGCGTATTTGATGAAGTTTAACAACATCATCTCCATGCCTACATCCATGTCTATGTTCGCCATGATTGCTGCACATCTCCTAGGAACAGTTACCGACCTCAAACATATGGCTCGGTACTCTGACTACCTATTTAATGGCAACTTAGGCTTAAAAAAATTAGCGAAGCTGCTCCAAATTAATCGCGTTGGTACTGCCCACTTCGCTGGGTCTGACAGTTTGCTTACAGCCTCGGTTTATGCCAAGATGAAGGTAATTATGAAGGTTGAACCAAAGATACACGAAGGTTTTTTATATGGATTACCATATCCCATTCAGGGTTATCGACCACCCGTTGTGATTGTAGATCCATCAAAATTAACCGACGATCGTATCTCAACCGATTAATTTTAATTTTTTTTTTTTTTTGTAGAGGGTAGATAAGGAGAGTGCTAAATAGTTTTTTAGAGGTTAGATTGGGAGGGTGATAAATATGTGCCACTTGTATGAGATCATACACACTTGTATAATGTATATAAATTCTTATTTATTTAATGATTTTTTTTCTTCCATTTAAATCTTACTTTTCGAATATATATATATATTGAAAAATAATTTATTTAAAATAAATGTAACTTTTATTTTAAATAATTTATTTAATTTTAAAATAATTTATTTGTATAACATCATACCATATATATCATACCATATATGTATGTAATGTTACACTGATATAACTTTTATTTATTAAAATTTATATTTATTTAACAACTAATTTTTTTCTTCCATTTAAATCTTACTTTTTATATATATATATATTTAAAAAGTAATTTATTTATAAAAGTGTAACTTTTATTTAAAATAATATATTCAATAAATTTTTTATATTTAAGAATATATATATATATATTGAAAAATAATTTATTTACTATATGTAACTTTTATTTTAAAGAATTTATTCAATTTAAAAATAATTTATTTGTATAAGGTCATACAACACGTAGACGTATATAACTTTTATTTATTTAACATCAATTTTTTTTTCTTCAATTTAAATCTTATTTTTCAAATATATATTAAAAAATAATTTATTTAAAATAAATATATATTTTATTTTAAATAATTTATTTATAATAATTTATTCAATTTAAAAATAATTTATTTGAATAAGATTCCTATGTAACTTTCATTTATTAAAATTTATATTTATTTAATAGACTATTTTTTTTTTCTTCAATTTAAATCTCACTTTTCGAATATATATTCAAAAATAATTTATTTAAAATAATTTATTCCATTTAAAAATAATTTATTTGTATAATGTGGTGTGTGAGGAATATAATTTTTTTATTTAAAATTTATTTAATACTAAAAATAATTTATTTATTTAAATAATAAATGAGCTTTTTATTAAAAACGAAAACGAGTTGTTTGAATATTTTTCCAGAGACAACTTTGCCCTTTACTCTTCCTTCTCTCAAATCATACGAAAACTGCTAAAACCCTTCGAAGCCAACTTTGTCATTTCGTTATTTTGCGGTATATATGATTCATATTTTTACAGCTGAGTTAGATTTAAATTTTGTATCCCGTGTGTACACCATGAATTATTACAGCTTTACGAAGCAGAACCAGTTGCTTAAAATGTTTCGAGTGGTTATGAGTGTTGTTAGACTATTACTATTTGGGAGAATTTACACTCAGAGATAAACCTAAACTTTAAGGATAAACGATCAAAGAACAATTCCTTCTCTTTGCAAACTGCATGAACTGTATGTTGCATGAACTGTATGTATAGATTCCATCTGGGTCAGAAGCACAAATTACACAACAATAAAATGCTCTTTCCAGAGTTTGGCCCTAGTTGAATATATGCAATGGAAATAAAAGAATATTTTTTTTAGAATGGGTTAAAAGTAAGAATTATTTATTTATTTATATATAAATTTATTTCAAAATAAAAATATTAAAGAAATTAAAATAACAAAATAATACGTAAGAAATTAAACAAAATATAGACGGAAGTCGAACTCGGGCGTGGGTCACACTAGACCGGACAAAGTACTACTCTAGCAAGCCTATTGATACTTTAAAATTCGTAATGTAATTTATATATTTTATTTGAATCGGGTTGCTCGGGTCACTCCAGGGTTTTGTCCCTCGAACCCGAAACTGAACTGATTCAAATCGGGTTTAGAAAAATGAACCAAACCCTACTCGAAATGCTAATACAACTGAACCCAACCCTTATAGTGTGGGTTGGATTGGTCCGAGTTGTCTGGTTGTGGGTTGAATGTACACCCTACAAAATAGTACGAGAAAATCAATTATTCTTATCATAAAAAAAATTTAAAAAAAAGATTTTTAATAATTGTACATGAAAATTAAAGAACCAAATTATTATTATTATTATTATTTTTCCCAACATAAAGTATATAAACAGGTCGAATTTTGTTTTCCTTGCAGAGGTTTTATTTCTTGGTGTTGCCGTTGGAGCCCTAGTACTAGCCCACACAATCTCTCCAAAAACATTCCCAAGAATCTCAAAACCCCTTTTTAATCTCTTGAAACTGAATTTCAAGTTTCTGAATTTGGATCGTTCTTTCAAGTAATTGTTTCTTTGTTTTCTGTGATCCTCTGGAAAGCATTTGGTCAGCATGGACGCCCAGAGAGCTCTTCTGGATGAACTCATGGGTTCAGGTACTCTTCTGATTCGACTTGTAATTTTTCTTTGGAAATTTTCGTTTCAATTTGTGGAGCATCTAGTTGGAGGGGAATGGAAGTGTTTCTATTAGTTTAGAGGAATTTGGCAGGGAATGTGGGAGTATTATCCACCAGGCGTGCAATTTTTCACTTGATATTCCCCTTTTGTGATTTCCAACATGAGTTTTCTTATTTTTAATTTTCTTTTTTCACGATTTTTGTTGCCATTTGATCTTTGTTGGTG